TAAAGATATCATCATTTGGTATTTATTGAGCGTCTTTTAGGATAAGGTTTATTGAAGAAAGAAATACAAAAAATATATTTCATTTATAATTCTAAAAATTTAACTACGCTGCAAAACTTCATTGAAGCAATCATACAATGTATGAAGGTGTGTACAACGAGCTGTTCATAAATCTGTACCGCTATCGAAGTTCTAAACGATGAGATCGATTAAGATTTACGCTCAATTTCATATCATTTTTCCAATCATAGCTTTGATATCCACACACTTTGCTTATTTGTAAACCGTGTAGTTTGAGAAATTTTTCTCTTACTTCTACGTGTTATTTCTTGATAGAGTTTAGTATTTCACATCATCATCCAAATTTTGACACTTGATCAGAACCAAATTTGTCTAACGTGCTTGGTATCAATCATCATTAAGACAAAAATATTAAGCAAACGAGAGAATATAGACTGCTTCTTTTGTGTGTGTGTGTGTGTGTGTGTATATATATATATATATTTATGTATATATGTGTATGTTTTTACTTTTTATTATACAGACATTGAAAGAAAGACTATTTAACATTTACAGAACACGTATTAACATTGAATCTAGTATTGTCTCTCTTCAACCAATTGAAATTATTTAGGAGGAGAAAATATTTATGTGCTGAAACATTTTGTCAATAAAAACCTGTGTGAAACCAATTATGTATTCCATTTTACTACTTGTCTTTCTGTATATAGAAGAAACAATCATGTACAGTTATTCTCATAACACTGTGAGTAAATATAATATAATCATTGTCATAAGAATGGAAATAAATTTCAGATATCATGAACAGACATTTTCAGTCTTTGCTACAATCACAAAAATAAAGATTTAGTATCTTCTTGGTCTAATCACTGTAAGCTGATGCTTGCCGTTTCATAAATGATAAACGGTTCTACTATCGAAAGCTATACATCATTCATCTAAATTCTCATACTGAACATATGAATATAGACCAAGACAGATACTCTACTACTGTCGTCGGCTGTTCATGCTTATAGTTTTAATGCTATAAGTACCGGTGTTTTGAACTATCGTTTGAAGAATTATCTGATAAAATTATGTAAATTTTAAAGTTTGTCTTTCGCACAGATTTATAGAATAAGAGAACGGAACTTTTCAATCTTTAAATAAATTTCGTTTTCTTTCTTATTTTTTGATCATGGTGACACATTTCGGGTGATGAATATTTCCGGTATTTTACGGAGAGAGAATGTAAGTATAGCGAATGAAGTACAACATCTTTATATGACTGTGATGATATATCTCAGAAACGTTTGGCACATATCTAAGCCTACTGAATAAATTTCTCACAAATTTTAGCTAAACATGTGAGCAACTATTGAAATATAAAAGAAGAATGAGACATTGCTGTCTATTGTTCCCATTTCTCACAACTATTATTTATGCTCTATACGAGAATATAGTTTACACATTATAATGAAATGCAACTTTCGGAGTGTTTCATATATGAGTGGTGGTGTATTTGAAAGTAATAGGAGTAAAGTGTCTGTCTATCGATAGGTGAACTGTAGTTTTGTAAATATAATGATGAAGATGATGATGGCAAAGACATTGAATAGATTAACGTCATATTATTTGTGTTGTAACATTAAACTTTCCTTGCGGTATACACGTTTGATCTTCTCTCTTTTTTTCTTCTTTCTATCATCAACTTGAATATCGTCATGGTTGAGAGAGTGAGTGAGTTGATCAAGTAAATAATAGATTATCATGGCCAAGCATACATTAACTTCTCTTCTTTCCATTGAACGAGAGAGAGAGAGAAAGGTGAACCAGTTTTTGTGATTAGAAAACATGTTGTTTTGGGGTTTAATTATTCGACTCACGTTTTCTAATATGTGTGTTTATATATAAAATTTAAATAACAAAAGAAAGCGGAAGGAACATTCAAATCAATAGTTAACAGACTAAAACATACTTATTTACATTACGTCAAATCAATTAATATTTAGTAAATTTTAGCTTAGGAGAGAAGTTTTTCAATTGTTTCCTTAATTTTTTCTCGAAATCTTTATTTTACCTAAATAAGAAACTGAAATTTTTATAAATCAGTGAAAAATTGTTCATTAATTTCAATGAGCTGTGCAAGAATCTTCTGCTCGTAGAGAGGTTGGACTACTACTCTATTTTTAGCGTTAGACACTTGATCCTGAAAAGTTTTTGTATTGCTTTTCAGAATTATAACCGTTGAATCTCCTTTCTATTGTCAAAGTTCTTATTCAAAAACATTTCCGTTTCGCTTGTCCAAAAGTAAAATTGTCCTGTAAAAAGAAATAAGATGAAGAACTGAGAAACGATTCATGTTTAAAACATAATAAATTTGTTATGAATCGCAAGGAGTATTGCACTATGGAAGGAGTATTGTATATTTCCTGTTAGAAATTACCATCTATAGTAACTAATTAAAGAAAAAAGTGTTTATCGTTTATTGTGAGATTTTTTGTCTCCTTCTTCAATAAAAGTATAACATATAAAAAATAAATCTTTTAATTACTTGTGAAGAAACGAACGTCAGTTTTTCTATTTTCTCTATTAAAAAAGCGTTACACTGTATTTTTGTAATGAAACACTTTATGTATCTAGAATATGATTAAATTTTATTAAGTTGAATATTGCTATACATTGTAATGAATTAGCTATATAGACGAAAGAGAAAATGGAATCTGAAACATTTTTACAGCTATATGAACGTCGTGAAAAAGATAAATCTTTTACTGCCTTTAGGATATATGCGACATGCGTTCGTTTTTATATTTACTGAAGATACATATTGTATTATCCAATCTCTTTGATTTATGAATTACATCAACAATTTTCAAGCATTATAATGAAAATTTTAAAAAAAAATCACAACACATTATGGTGGTTCTGATGACGATTTTCATATATCAAATACTCTCATCATTTTGAAAAATAACTACTGTTTATAATCCAACCATTCTTAAACTAGAGAAACTCAAATGTAGAGTCTTAGTTAGGCTAACATGTACCTTTAATCTCAATATTCTCTTTTCTGTATTCAAATCTCAGCATGGCACCCTTTTCTACTTTTTGAGAACCACTTGATAATGATAGATTTCTCCTTACATAACGTTTTTCTGCTTTTGCATCATTATTGTTTTTCTCATAACAGTTTCTTCTTCAATTAAACAATAGAATAATATCATTTTAAATTTTCGTTTGTTGTTCGACGGAGAGAGAAAGAGAGAGAGAGAGAAACTATATTGAACATGTAGTACTATATCTACACCTTGAATGCTTGCTGCTTAATCGGCTTAGAAAATAATATATTTCCTTAATAGAACTACTCTAAAGAAGAGTCTGACCGACACCGTTTGACATAAACAAGATTGTTGTTATTCATGCATTAATACTAGTATCTTTTGAAATAAACAAATGATTTAGATAGGAATTAAAACAAATGTTGTCTGCATGATGCCACAGAACAAGTGTATAAACTGACAAATCAAAATTAGAGTGAAGACATACATTGATCAGGTATTTTTTTGTCCACTTAATCAATTTCTAGACTTTTAGAATAAAACTGCATTATGACCAAAAAGTCTGTCATTCTTATTGGCGACTTTTTATCTTTTAGACTAGATTGCATTGGAGAAATGTGTCTATAGACAACTGTACGTTAGTGGAATTGAAAATGTTTTCTATTACTTTGTTAATCTAATCACAGTTTGTCTTTGCATAGTATATAGTTAAAAAAAGTCAAGCGTTTAAAATAATAGCACAATTGTACTTCTGATTAACTTTGTCTAAGTGAAAAAAAAACTAATCCATTCTTCTTCTTTTTACTGTATTGACGAATGAGCTAATCCTCTGCCAGAAACCAGCCTTTGTCAATAAAGAAAAAAAAATGAGAATGTGAAATAAATAGACAGATTCATCTCAATATATGCTGTTTATAACATGTTTGATGAACACGTATCGTCACTATCGTTGACCAATTCAAACGTTTATACCTAACAAATCCAGATTCTGATAATGTTCATGAAAATGAAGAATTCCATATTAGATCGTCGAACACTGTCGTTTTCTATTTATATAACAGATCTTCTAGTCCGAATATTTGATAATGATTCACAACAATAAAAATGTTTTCGGCTCAACGTTTCATAAGTTACAAAATCATCTTCTTACATAAAAGTGACACCTTAATTATCTTCTTAGCGCACAGAAAAGTTAGAAAAAGAATAGAAATTAAGCAAAGCACTCTTCAATAGTGTGTGTACAAACATTGCAATTGACATTTTATTCTTTGACAATTAGTTAAAAACATAAATATGTTTTGTTTTTTTGGTATTCTCAGTTTATTTAACAGCTTTCTACTTTTATTATTGAGTTTATTTAATTTTCAATTATTGAAGTTTCATGTTGTAATAGCAATATGGTTTGTGCAAATGTTATTCTATAATAGTATGAGAATGAGAGAAAGAGAGAGAGAGAGAGAGAGAGAGAGGGAAAACATATTTGACGCGACAAAAAATTATTTTAATGTTTTCCTAATTTTAATGGTTAAGCAAATGACAAATTATAACAATTGTATTGAATTTGAACCAAAGCAACCAAAAAAATGTTATTTTTAAAAAAACAATTAGAAATGTACGGAGTAGGTGGTAATTGGTAGATTATACTTTATCTGTACTAATCACAATTGAAGAAACTATAGATCCAATTGTTTTAACAAGATGTGTAATTATTATATGAAAAAAAAAAGATTTTACATAGAAACAGATGTATTTTATATACACATCACTGTTATTGACAAAAGGCAAGAACAAAAAAAAAGATCTTTTTGTTAATTAAAAATTTTGAAATTTAGTCGGCCATACATCATCGGGAGATATTTGACGTCCAGTATAAGGTGGTTGTAAAAAGTCATCATGTCTATAAGTTGTATTTGAATGTCCTGTTAGACTATTTGAATATGTCGATGGAGTTTTGTACATATTTTGAAAATTATAATCAGAATAAAATGCGGAATAATTTTGTGGACTATAAGTGGAATTTGGATACGGTATATTGTAACCGGCTGCAGCCGCTGCTTGAGTCGACCAAGCAGCCGAGGCTACTTGAGCGGCGAGACTGTCTGTACGATAAAATGACGGTGACGATAGTGACTGACTACTCGTAGTATTAGTTGATGAACATCCAGAACTGCCGGCACTTGTTGGTGAATGACTATTTCTGCCAGCTCCACCATTACATCCATTTGTTGTTGATGCTACTACTTTACATGTAACGGGACTTGAACATACTGGACTTTTTGCTTCTTGTTTGAGTGTTGTTGATGTATCATGAGAACGAGATATTTCATTTGCTGCCATGACTTTGTCGGGATGAACAGATGACGATGGTTTGGGATTTTTTGCTTTATCTTGTTGTCGACATTTAGCTCGTCTGTTTTTGAACCAAACCTACGAAAAAGAAAATGGCACGTTTAATTTACAGAAAAATAGATGAACGACAAAAGTTTACTTGAACCCTTGATTCTGGAAGATTTATTTTTAATGCTGCTTCTTCACGTAGAAAAATATCAGGATATCTTGTTTTGTGAAATAGAGCTTCTAATTGATCTAGTTGCGCTCTTGTAAATGTTGTACGTTCACGACGTTGTTTACGTTGAGAGCCTAAAGTGAAGAAAAACGTCTAGAATAGTTGTGCAAACTAGTTGAGTATGCATTTTCCTACCATTATAAGATAGAGAATGTAATGAATCATGTTGTGGATAGCTAAACGCAAATGGCATAGTTTTAGACGGATCACTATAGGGAAATTTCATTGAAGAGGGATCTGTTCCCGCTGGAGATGAAACATAATTGCTGTACGGATAATAGCCAGTTAATGATGTTGAATATTTAGACGATAAAGCCACTTTTGATTTTTCTTTAAATAACTGTTACTAAAATTGAAATATTTTATTTACTTTATTAGTAGAAATATTGTTGACTTAATTACTATACGTCATCTTGTTAATATCGCTTACCAATTGCTAGTTGATTTATTACTATTTCCGTAATAAGATATTATCTATTGTTAAATCTTGTTAAACTTATTATGTATCAAAGTATATCCCACTTAAAACAACTTGGACTTCTGATAAGACGGCTTTAGAGAGGATTGTAAGATTAGCTCAACGTATATAAGAGTCAAGCGACAACACGTGTCATATTTAACAAAAGATAGAGAGAATTATGTGTGTGTATTTATATGTGTATATGTATATTTCAGCAAAAAAAGATTAACAGGCAACAGACCTACATACAAGTGGGCGAATTATGGATAAAAAAAAAGAAAGAAAGTCTTAAAACACAACGAATGTCTAATTTCATAAATAAATACTTACTACTTAAAGATAGTCTTCAAACTTCAGATTGTCGTCGTCTTTTTTTCTTTTTCTTCTTCGCCTTTTTTTGTATGCATATCGTATGTAAAAAAAGTACTGTGTGATGATAAAGGCTTAAGCTCTACTCTTATTTAATATAACGACACGACTTTTTTTCTCCTTTTTTCTTATAGCTTTGTTTCTAAAACAGGTAACATATTTTATTTCTTCGTCTAGAAAAAAATTCTTCTTAACTGTTTGTCGGGCGAGTATGTATCTATTAACAAAATATAAATAATATTACAATCTCAGACGTATCACAGTTACATTTGATTGATAGGAAACTCACATTCTTTATAACGTTCTTTTACGTGTTCTGTTCTTTATTCTATCAACAAATAGAATTATTTTTCTTTCAATTGACCAATCCGATTTTGTAGCGAATAACAACGAGAAAAAAAGTTAACCAATCCGGTTTGTCTCAATAGATATATACAAAAAAAAAACTGTTTTTGATGTCAAGAAAACTCTAAACCACGTTACAAGCACTACGTAAGTTAACTCTTCAAACGCATGTGAAAAACAGAAGAAAAATTCAATCTTGAGACAGCATGCTTTTAATATATTTAAATAAACAAGCGGATGAAAAAAGATATGATTCATTTACTGTAAACTACTTGCGTACATTATCACCTTAACGAGCGTATATGTCTCATCTATGAGTTGATCACTTTGATTTACCAACTCTAAACAGGAATTTCTACATCATATGTTCCATTTCTCTTTACTAAGTATTGCGTTCCAGACACTTCATGGCACTTCTTTGTACTTTAGACAGAAACAGAACAAGAAATCGAGTTTTGAAAATGAGTCCCTTCCAAAAAAAACATTAATCAAACATACTGGAACTTTTTTAAATTTTTCATTTATGCTGAATAGTCAAATGTGCAGACGAGTTGTAGTTCATAATTTCACTTGTTTTATTAGTTATACATATTTTTACAGTCTAGTTGAGAAGATTGCTCGAGATCACTTTATACAAGACTTGTTTTGAATTTAAAGTTTTATAAAATAAAAGTTTCCCCATTAATAACTCTTAGAGTAAAGATGTTTTCTCCGTGATCAATAATGATATAATCAAAACCTATCAGTTCTGAAACATTGAAGGTTCTCATTGTTTTGCTCGAGACAAACTTTTGATCGTTATTTACAATACCGTGACGAGAAAAGAAGCAGCGACGATGCAACTTCTTCGAAGCACATTAGAAAGTTATTACTTGTTGAATAAACCTTTTCTATACGATGTCTGACGACGCTTTCTTCCTCATAACCCTCATAACTCAACTTTTCATCAAATGCACAAAAGTTTTTGAGAGAAAAAACGAAAGCAAACAGTAGGACGCTACCTTCTTCCCTTCACACACTATCACCACGATACTGGTTGCTGATTGCCTTTTCTAAAGCAGAGAAAGATTGAGAAACGTTCTATTTTTCTTCTAGTATTGCATGTAATCATACTATACACTGAATGCTGTAGGCATCATCTTTCATTGTAATTAAAAATGTTTCTATTAATTCGACTGTGTTCCACCTTTCACCTAACGGATTATCCATTGTGATTTGTTTTCTTGAAACATAATGATGTTTCAATTAGAATATTTTACTTTTCTTTTCCACACTAATAACAACGCTTGACAAAAAATTCCAAAAGCTCATCTAGCGACTATATATATGAAAAAGCGTCAAAAATAGCTGCAAGCAAGCGTAAATAGAATGGATAAGTTCAATTGAGACGGTCTAAATATGTGTGCGTGTATTAAACAACAATAATATTCAGTGAAACAACTCATGTAGTATTACATCAAAGTGAAGGATATAGAGGAAGATATTCCTGTTTTGTATGAATAGAAAAGAATTAGTGAATAAAAGTGATGCCAAAAAGGCGAAGAAAAAAAGTTTTTCACACAAGTATCAATTGAAATAAACTTCAAATATATATGTTTTTCAACATTGTCAAATCATTCAAAAGCTATAGTTGTATAGTAAAATGTACGTTAACTAATAACGGTTAAAGTAGATTTCCAAGTACAAATTCTGGTCACGTTATAATTTCTGTATAACATTAATTGTGTTTAGAATAATGTTTCATATAGTCAGTTCAATATTGACTTTATATCTAAATAAATACAGAGAATCGCACGACAAACTGATAAGCTGAAAATCGTTTCACATACCACGAATTATAAGCATCTCCTTCTCATCATTTTTGTCCCTATTTAATAAGTATTTTAATATACATTTCATTACCGTTGGCTCTCTCTCTCTCTCTATATATATATATATATACACTTATCATTCTAGACATTCATCATTATCCTCAAGCACATCTTTGTACATATAGGCACAAGTTGAAGATGTATAATAAACATAAAGAAAGGCAAAAATACAACAGGTATTTTGATCTAATTAACATGTTAATAAGATTTAGCTCATCAAACACGACTAAGAATCTACTGAATATTGAACTGAGATGAAAAAGAATATAAGGAGAATTTCTAAATTGAATATGTGAAAAATGTAAGAATTGTAGTGACGATATAATCCATCTTTTTAAAGACTTTTTAAAAAGCCCGTATTGCAGGGTAGGGCTAGGCTAGAGGCTTCGAGCACATCTCTAATCATCGACCATTCTTTGTAAAAATTTCAGAACATCTAAAATCGATTTTGATTTCCTAAGTTTTCTAAAATCGTTCAACATGTACAAAAAAAAACCCATAAAATCCATTGTGATCTTACAAAGAATTACTGATGACTTTAGCGGCTTTATACCGAAAGATATTAATGTAAAACCTTCGAGACTTTACTACAGTCAGTTCTTTAAAATTGATGAAATTTGCACTGTTCTGAACGAGAAATCGAGATTTTATGAATGAAGGCGAGCAAGTTGAGCAACACTTCTTTAATTATATTCAATTGTTGCTGATTGTTTATTTTCAATTTTTATTCCTCCATAAGCAAATCAGACGTATCCATTTTTTTCAACCAATGTCAACCTTATTTAGGGTTTTATTCATTCACTTCGCAAAAGAATAGAAAATTTTTCTACTCGAAGAAATAAGCTCTCATCCAATTAAGGTGAACATTCCAATACATACTGAGTTACTTAGACAAACTTTATCAGATTCCTTTGGTGCGAGAATAAGAAAAAACGAGTAGAAAATACGTATCTAGTCTTGGACGCTTAGTGTGACCTGTGATAGTGAAGATACAATCCAAAGATTTCGTTTTCAATAGCTACAGTGGAAACAGCGTATCTCATAAATCCAACGCCACCATTCATTATTCACTTTCACGCTCACTAAATATCATAAAGTAATTCAGTTGTATTCACCAACTAATAGTAAATTTAATCAAGAATCTCGCAACAATATTTGTCTTCATAATCAGTACACATCAATGTATTTCAGAATGAATAAGTTGAATAAAGTATAAAAACAGACAAAGATATGTCGTGGCTGATGTGTATTTCATAGGTTTTTCTAAACGTGACAAACATTGTGATCATTAATTTATATAAAAGACGACTTTCTTCTTTTCACTCCATCCAATCTCTATGTGTATATACGTTTTTCACGGTTGTTCATTATAATTATGAAGCTTTGTCATCATCATCATTTCTTTTTTCAATCACGAAATGTGATGAGAAAAAATTCAACAAGCATACGTCACGATAGAAAAAAAATAGAAAGAAAATGATTACTTTTTTTTTAATACGATGGCAGTATGAAATCTCGCTCGATTTTTTTTATTCAACATATGTACTAGTTGGATGAGATAGTAAAATAGAATTTTTTTTTCTCATTTCTTTAAGAACAAGGTGTGTAATTAGAATGTGGTGACGTTTTTAGAACAATATCGACAAAAAATGTCAGTTAGGATGATGGAATAAATCTGACAATGAAATATTTTTTTTCACTAAATGATATAGAATAGCATGACAAAATAGAGCCAACAAAAATGTCATAGATCTGTCAGTCAGTTATTTTTAGATCCCAAGGTATTAATTATTTGAATGGAATATACCAACAAAGACAGTGACTATAAATTATAGTAGCATCAAAACGATTGTGCACGTGTACTTAGAAAAGTGCAAATAAATAAATATAGTAAAATATCATTTCACAAAACAAATTTAGTTTTTGCATGTGACAGGAGATCGAACGTTATCATAAATGAAGTAAAAATTTATAAGAGTTGCATACTGCAAAATTTTCCATGTCTCTCTTTTCTAAAGATTTCGCTAAGCTGTATTAACCGTTTAAAAAACAATTTAGTGAAGTTTCTGTTTCTTTCGTGTACGTATGAAACTTTTCCGTCTTTGAACATTTTTTTTTTGTTTTGAAATCAAACTTATAATAATAATACATCAATTATTCAACAAAAACATAAATATGTTTTTCTCTCACTACAAAGCGGAAGAAAAGAGCTAATTTTTTTGTTCCTGGAAGGGATTTTTTCAAATTGTGCGTTATAATATTTATGCGTTTTCTTTGTATACATGAATAAGAAGAATTACTTTTTCTTGTTTGACACTTCATAAAGACGTAAAATCCGATCATTCTAATACTTATTTTCTATGCAAATGCCGAGAATCGATACGATTCTATATTAGATGTTTCGCAGTTTCATTTTATAATCGAGTTACAAACATATGTACGATCTTATACGTATCAACAAAAAATGTTAAGATATTTTCTGAAACAGGACATTATGCATAAAAAATACAAGCACTTTTCTTATAATATCACAGAAAATCATAGATTAGGTAAGCACAAGTATGAAATTTTTCTTCGCCATTATTATACTTCAGATATAGGTGGATAATACTTCATATGAGGTTAGTCTGAAAAGTGACAATATAATTGTTTTAAATTCTTCAATCGGATCCAGTTTTCAGAAAAACGTATGAAAGTTTTTTGGTTTTTGAACGCCTGCAATTAATTGTATCAACATTTCTTTTTCAAAAACGTACCCTTATCTTTGACTATTGTAATTATTCGATAAATTTCTCTCTACTTTGTCACATAAAAAATAAATCATTTTGGACATCACAACTACGTAATCAACTCTTCTAACTTATTCAAGTTAAACAGATTCTAAAATAAGTTCATATACAAAATGCCAGCTCTTCAGCTAGAAACCAGAAAGATCGTTTCGGAGCTTTCATTCTAGTACGATCATGATGTTATTTCTGGCGCTCCATTAGCTAACTGAATAGCTAACGCTGTATACATGTGTAATGTTATTTTAAGAATATTTTGAATGTTGTTACTGTTGGAATTGATGTTCAGATTTTACGTATTCTGTGGATTGATAAAACATTAGATTAGTATCAAAAAATCAGGAATTCGTATAGATTATTAGGCCAGACTTATAACAAACCAATAGACAAATATTTTTAATACATTATATCTATTTAAATCACTATGATGACGACAAACTATGTCTATTGGTAAGCGATTTTCAATCTTATAATCCAGAAAAAGTCTCAAAAAAGCGTAAGAACAATAAGTTGTTTTGAAAACACCTTAACACACCAAAAGGTACTACACGTTTTCGGATGGGTTTTATCTTTATTTATACTTTTTGTTGCTCTTTACAAAGTGGAAAACATTCATCCTTTCATCCAACCAATAACAGATGTACTCTTGTCTATCCGTTGACAAAATATGGATAATGCATTACACCTCACGTATTGGAGCACTTTCTGTTCCGCAGGTATTTAGAATTAATTAAATGGATACCTTATAACCTGAGATGTGTTCAGCCCTACCATTGACTATTTCGTGAAGTCATTTGATCAATATTTCTTTCCCATTCACAAATTTAGTCTTCTTAATTGGTATTGTTATTGTTGTACCATTACTGATACATTTTTCTTTCTAGTTGGGAAACATCTTCACAAATTTTTTATGAATCGATAAAGAACAGCTTGGGCTACAACACCAAAGTAAATAATTACTGGAAACGGTCTGGCGTAGGTGTGCTCGGCCTTAAAATGTGTGAACTCGGCTAAAGTTAAAAGTGTCCCGCCATACTTCACAAGTCTTTTCCGTCTGACAAACTTGAATGAAACCTAACTCCAAAATAGTCAAAAGATTGCTCGACTAACACAGTATTCAACAGTAAAAGATAAAATATCAAAAGACTTTCGTTCAGGAACTGATAAAATACTCATTTTTGCACTAAATGTGCTGTCAGGTTCGAAATTTCTTTGGGCTGTAAAATCCCGTTGATTTTTCGCTGAATTCATAGATCAGAGGTAAGTCAGAATCGAAAGTGAAAGTTACATAAGAGCTCGAATGCCATTAGTTGTAGGACTATTATTGTTTGATGCAAAAGGTCCGATTCTCAATTCCAATTATGTCGGATATTTCCATTGATCTTCCATATTTCTCATTGATTGACTAACTAAATCTTCTGATAATCGTTTGTTTACGGTTTATTTATTCAGGTTGTATAAATATTTCATTTTGTTATTATGAATTGATTATACTCCAAAGTTTCCCTTAATCCTTCAAATCCATCTGAGACAAAATCGGAGTGAAAAGCGAAAAAGCACGCGTACAAGTTGCAAAACAACTAAAGTGAGCGTATGGAATTGTGAGATTCAGCTAAAACAGAAAAATATTAGTTCATTTGGAAAAAAATGCTCGGAGAAAAAGACTAAATAGAAATTTACAAAAAATAATAATTTAACCACAGTAACGAAAAACTGTACATATAATATAAAAAAAAATCAACGATCTGACAACTTAGTTGACTCAAAAATATTGTTTTAGAGCACTGAAGAAATCTCACATGAACTATCTGATATAGCTGTTGTTTTAAATAATATTTCATTAGCAAATTTTGGTAATACTAACAATGTATGAAATTCTTCTAATTCGTACGTGTGTCGCATATAGCTGTCAGTTAATTTTACACCACCAATTTTCTAAAGTAGAGTAAAATTAAAATGTGCACATTTAGATTAATCAATGTGTAAAAAAATACCTTCAGACCGCTTGTCAACGGTACAAGATTTAAATGAATTTCAGTTAATTGATGTGCATCTAATTTTCCAATATTTCCACTAATAACTCCTATCCATATGAATCTTTCTTTTTTTGAGAATTGATGATTAAAACTTAACGCTAAGTTCATACTACGAGCGGTACTATTTATTATATTTACACGTAAATGTTGCGATTGTTCAACATTACAGCTACCATTGCCTTCAACCAGTTGCAATCGTAAATCGGATAAATTACTTAAATTTGTAGTTGTCACAAGAGGTTGCTATAATATGACAACTTCAATTTTAATTAATTGATGTAATTTTAGCGGTTATTCCTAAACAACCATCTTGTTCAGCACTAATTAAAAAAGTTAAAAATCAGAAAATCAGAAAGCACAGCATAACATTTGCAACACTATCGGACGAGAAAATCAATCTCCAAACTGGACCGTTTTTCATTTTCTACTCATTTTTGAGTTCATCCATACATTCATCAAGGGATTTGTAGGAATTGAACTCACAATTTATAGTTGAGGTATACTTGTGCAATATATATAAGTCATATTCAATACAATAACATAATTTTTAGGTAAAAAAATGTATGCGAAAGTCTTTGTCTAAGCAAAATTTCAGTTTGTAAACTGTCAGTGCTCTGTTTTCACATGTACTTCAATAGTACCGTTCGCATTAGAAACATTTTTGTGTGACTTACGTGTCATTGTTTAACAATGACACGTAAGCCACATTACGTAAATAAGTACGTGCATTCATGTTTCATATCATAACCCAGCTGAACAGACCCTTGAGCAAGGTCCAAACCGGTCCTGGGTTGCTCCATCCTTTTTAAAAAATCCGAACTCTTTTACTCTTTTTGTACGAAAATAAACATTCGAAATCTATCGTTCGTCAAGCTTAACGGCAAGATTGTCATTTTTAGTTCAAAAATATTAACATTAACATTTTCTATCGCGCAACCAAACAGCTTCTCATACGAATCGCGTTTAGTGTGCAAACTGTCAGATTCGGAGCTAAACCTTTCCGATCGCGCCACGCTACAGATTCTCATACATAGCACGTTAAGTGTGCGAATGCTGAGATTCAGAAATAAACATTTTGTATGACGCCCCGCACCAGGTCGCCATTCAGATCATGTCAAAGTCTGCTACCTCTCAGCTTGAGAAATAAACGTTTTCTATCGCGCCACCCACCAGATTCTCATATAAATCACGTTAATTGAACAGACCCTGAGATTCTGATAGATGTCACGTTAAGTGTGCAAACTCTCAGAGTCGGAAGTAAACATTTTCTATCGCGCCCCGCACCAGATTCTCATTCAAATGTCAGTTAGACCAATCATCATCATTTCGCAGTTGATTGGTCTAACCGACCAATAAAAAATGTACGACTGCGTACGACTGAACTGTACGCATTTTGGTTATGGCCTCCTCTTTTCCTTTTTCCAGGCACCTCGGTCCAGGGTAAAATGGATGATCGAGGTGGTGACTATTTTTACTGACCGACTGACTTAACTGACCAAATTTGATTGGTCTATCCCATGGTTACACCAATCAAATTTGGTCAGTAAGGTCGGTCGGTCAGTAAAAATAGTCACCACCATGATCGAACAGACTAAGGCCTTGTCTACACTACAAAAGTTAAAGGAGCTTTAAGGAATTCTATTGGCTAAAAGTTAGTTTAAGCCAATAGAATTGCTTAAAGCTCCTTTAACTTTTGTAGCGTAGACAAGGCCTAAAAGATCACACTGGATTGGTTGAAAATTCACTTTCAACCAATCCAACGTGATCTTTTAGTCTGTTTGATCATCCATTTTACCCTGGACCGGCACCTCTTACAACGCACTTTTCTGTGATATATAAGAGAATTCCCTCGGTGAAGTTCATTGGGTGAAATTTTTGAATTTAAACAAGAACCAAATAGGTTCTTGAATAAAAAAATAAAAACAGGAAATGCAACCCCATTTGGTTCTTGTTTAAATCCAAAACTTTCATCCGATGAACTTCACCGAAGAATTCTCTTATATATCACAGAATAAGTGGACAGTCTACATACTAAAAAGAACCAAGACCGAGTCCACCACTAATCTAGATCCTATCTCGCGCAAACACTTTGCACAGTATCGTTAGGTGGCATCATTCCTAACCGCTGCTTTCCGCTAGAGAATCAAGACGGGTCCTGTAGTTGCAGAACTCGGTTTTCTCGAACTCAAATGTGTTCATGTTCACATTCATAAGGGAAAGGAAGTCGCCTTGCGTTCGGCTCGTACTCTGGTTGGCTCACAATCAGTGTTTTTGATGATTACTAGGTTTCGCTTGAGCAAAATGGGTTTCCACTGTGAAAATTCCATTTTCCACTTTGCTTTTAGCAGGGAAAACATGGAAAATGCAGTGGTTAACTGTGGAAACCCACTTTGCTTAAAATTCCTATTAAAAACACTGCTCACAATCGTCTATATGAAGTGAGCCTGAGTTGTTTAGTTCGCACATTTGCATGACCTCGCTGTCTGTCTTTAGATGCTCAGCAAATGAAGAATGAATCAAGATGTCGATACCGATGGTAGTACAGAATTTGAATTTTCCTCGGAGAATGTGTCATCACTTGTGAGTTGTCTCCTCTTAATCTTCCCTATTAGATGGATTTTCATTTAATGCCACAACTCTTGGTCATTTCAATGGTTCGCAATTGATAAGATGCACCCAGTGCTGAAATCGTCAAAGCATTCATCGCAGCAATACAGAAAACCGAAGACTTGATTAAAAACGACAAATTGATCGCCTATTTTGCTCATACCTGCGTTGGTGATCTTCGTAACATCAATGTATTCGATATCGGTGAAACGTTAAAACATATCAATGATATTCGAACAGTATTGATTCGTCTATTGCCTCAACTACGCTTTTCGGTTCGCAACTTGCCCGATCATTTCTCTCTTTTCATTCGAATGGACGACAAATCGGCGCAACGGGATGAAATCGTATTCGATGAGCCGATGATACGCGGCATGATAACCCTATAAAAACAATTCCAGTGCGGCACTGGTAAAAAGGCATCGTCCGGAAATCGCCGTCGCCGCGGATTCTTATATCTTAAAGTGTTAAAGTGTAAAAGGATAAACGTGCATAACTGAGGGTGAAGTAGTGAGGATGAGGGTGGAGCACTTCTTCACCCACTTCACTCTCACCTCTCCACCCTCACCCTCACTCGCCGCGAGTTCGTATATGTTAAAGTGTTAACGCTAAAGTGTTAACACTTTAACACTGAATCCGCGGCGACGGCGATTTCCGGATGTTATGGGTAAAAATCAGTGCGGCACTGCCAGTGCGCATGGCATACCGTCAGTCACTGGCACTGGCTGGCACCGGTGCGCACCCATGCCCAGAAAGTGCCGATTGGCACCCGTGCGCACCGATGCCGATATATTATAGCTATTCGTTCGTTTATTATAAATTCTGTTCCATCACCTTGTTCTTCACGTTGTGTACGACAAGATGCACCAAGCATATTACGCAGATTAACAGCATGCATAGCAGCACAAGCTTGTTGATCCAACTTAAACCAACGAAAAATAGTTTAGAAAGCTACTCGAGTTCTGTAACGGTAATTAGATAACTTAGCTAGCCATACATCGTAAACAATGTAGTCGGTGTTTGGTTTTGGATTTCTGCAACAACGAATGTTTCATCATACTATAAAAAGACAAAAAATTAATAAAAATTTCTCATACAAACAACAAAATATACTACGTCAAGTCCAGGAACAAAGCGTGTCTTTAACTCGATTGGTTTTCTGACCTCCAAAAATAAAAACGCAATTAAATAAGCAGATACATAAAGGTCCATATTTAAGCAAATTACTTGTAACTTAAAAACTTTCTTAACGCTACATTTTTCTTCATTCGCATCAATATACCCCAAGGAGAAAAAAAATATCGACTATCGGGCGATCTAGCTAGCTAACTCAATATACTACCCGATATACCTAGCTAGCAATTCGAATTGGGTTATTTACTATCGGGTGATATAGCTAGCTAACACGATACATTACTAGATATAGCTAGCTAGTCCAATATACTACCCGATATAGCTAGCTAGCCCAATATGTTACTCGATATATCGACGCTCGGATTACTCACCTTTTTGTTTT